GGGCGGCCGCGGAGCCCCATTAACGTCACCGCTGGCACTCACCCCCAAGCAGAGATGAACCACGGGCCTTCCTCTCCCTGGCAAACTCCAGCAATCTGCCGTGTCTCGTGGTAATCGCTCTAAACGTCTCCGGGGCGCTTGCTGCTCGTCATTGCAGCAGGAACTACATGGAGAAAAAAGAAAAGAGGAAAAACCCTGCCGAGGTTGAAGGAGCCTCCGTGTCCCCCGTGGCGGATGGGACCACGCGTCCTGCGACTTGAGAGAAACGCTGTCCCCAGCCAGGTGCCGTTCAGGTCCCCACTCCCCAAACTCACACATCCTCAGGTTGGGAGCCGAGTCCCAGCCATCCCGACTGCTCACCTCCGAGTGACAGCAGGGTCCCATCAGCCCTGCCCCTTGTCCGAGCTCTCAGCCAGCTGCTGCCCCTTCCCTCTCAGGAGCAGCCTCCAAGTTCCACGTAAATTGAGATTTTAGTGCTCCTTTTCCCCTAGTCCCCGTGTAGCCAGGCTTAGTGAGAGCCTTTGGACACTCGAGTTGTGGCTGATGGGTCCTGGACGCCTCTCCCCAGTTAATGATCTCTCCCTTCGTGTAGCCAAGCACCTAATGAGATAATGTCAGGCCCTGGTACCTCCACAGCAGCTGAGGGACACTCAGAGCATTAAAGATGCCAGCTGGTTACCTTACTCCGCAGTCCAGCTGACACAGAATTGGATTTGAGCTCCTATTTACTCATTTCATTCTCATCTGGACTGCTCAGCGCTGACAGCCCAAAAACCCACCCGTCTTCACAGCCTGTCTGCAGGGTGAGACAGTGCTGCTGCCCTCGGATCACCCACGGCAAGACCAGAGCTCCAGAAAGTGAACTGGCTTGCCCGGGATGACAGGGCAGAGGCAGAGCCAGCAACGGCACGCACGGGGCCTGACTCACGGGAGCAGCCCCAGGGAGGAACGAATTTCGCTCACCTCAAACACGGGCAGGGATGCAGCTCTACGCCGAACGGCTTTCGGACAGGAGGAGGAGGAGGACGCTTCCCGGTGGAACTGCAGAGGAGACCTGTGCAGGAAACCCACAGCAGGACAAAAAGCACCCCATTCCGAAGCCAGACGAAGAAGGTGTATTTTTGCCAAAGCAAGCCCGAGTTACACTGTTTTGGAGCTGTTTCTCCATTTCCCAGAGACCACAGAAATGTCTGTCACGTGCAGAGGCCCGTTCCATGACCTGGAAGTTTTTGGTTTAGCTCATTGTCAGCACCTCACCTCTTCTGATGCCAGGAAGGTCTCAGTCCCCCAGGCCACGAGCCACAGCAAGGGGTCCGGCCGGAGGGAGCTGGTGCACTGCACCGCTGGTCGGGGAGAGCCCCAGCGCTTTGGAGCTGGGGACTGTCGCATGTTCCCCAACACAAGTCAAATCCAGACAATAACTGGACAAAAGGAAAAAAAAAAAGGATCACATCATCTTCTCTGTCGTCTTTCTTTTGCAGGTTTACCCTGCAACCCATCCCAGGTAACAGCCACACGCTGAGCTACTTGTTTTTCTCCAATCTTTTTACAAACAGTCACGGATGAAGCCCCAGAACCTCGCCACAAGATGAGTATCAGTAAACTCTTCGAAACCACAGAGACCAGGACAGGACTGCTTCCAGAAAAGCTGGGTATTCTGACTGCCTCCAGGCCAGGAGTCCCGAAGGGAAGCGCAACCATACCACACGTGCTGCAACACCCTGCTCTTAGTGTGGGGAATTATTACACAGACTGCAGCAAGGTTCACACAAAAGCAGGCGCGTTGGGCCTCCTAGAAACACGCCAGATGATCGTCCCCATCTCAGAACACCACCTCCTTCTCCGAGTTTGGCTGTACCATCCTCCCAGAGCCGAAAAGCCCCGGGACTGCCTCGGTTTTGACAGCTAGCCACCACCACCACCACGGGGAGATGGTTACACATGAAGTTGAGTCTTCTCAGCGCTTCCCCAGAAAAATCCAAGCATCGACCTTGGAGATACAGCGAGCTCTGCTCCCCTCCCACGCTGATTATGCTGTAACTTGACTATAATTGGGCTCTATTTAATAATTACCGTCACTCTGTAATTATCGCTTTCTGATTTTTCTCTTTGTTAACATTTGCCGGGGAGGGGGAGAGGCTTTTCTGCTGCGCCAGAGAGCTAAAGATGTCTCGGATTCAAGACGACGTGGATGTGCCGCTTGCTGCGGCAGTGTTTAACCAGGCACCGATCAAAACACCTTTCTGAAGTCACTCGTGTCACAGCCGGCAGTGAAATGCTGGGGGCTGTTCACTCGCTGCTTCTACCCCCAGCTACCCAGACACAAGCTCCCATACGCAGAGCAGAGGCTAATTAAAGAGTAGAGGTGAGCAAGGAGTGCTTCTTCAGCAGGCATTATTATTGAAATGAGACAGCAAGGGAGGCAGTGTGGAAGGATCCTTAATGAAATGGGGGAGGAAGGGAATTAGAGGGAGAACAAAGTAAAAGGGGGAAGAAACAGCCTTGGAAAAGGAGGGGGACCTGACTGATGGAAGATGCAGCGGAGGCGCAGAAACCAAAACAGCAATGTTCTTGCTTTAACATCTGATTTTCTCCTCCACCCTCAGAGTCTGCAGGGCTCAGACACCCTCATTCCCAAAGGCTCCAAGCAAAGCCAGCGTCCTGGGGCTAAAGCACAGTTTGTGTTCGTCCTAGCTGCGCACCTCCCGGCTCAGGGAGGCCAGCTCTTGCTCCAGCCTCCAGCAAGCCAAATCCTTCCCTGCAACACCTCCAGACAAGCTGCCACCAAGCACAGCCCCAGGGCTCCAGGAAAGGTGGCTGCATACCTGCCCAGACCTGCAGGATGATTTGCCTGAGCAACAGAGACAGAGGTGAGCACAAGAGAGCTGTCCTAGCCAGGCCATCACCTCCACCCTGCACAGCCCGCCAGAAACAGGGGGTTTTTCTCGCTAAAGGCTGCTACGCAGCACAGCACCGTCCCACCGAGCACCAGGCAGCATTACCCAGTTCTTATCACCAAGCAAGCAGCTGAATTTGGCTCCTGCCCATTTGGCAGCCTCAGGCTGATGGCCTTCTGGACAGGGGCAGTGGCAAAACCAGCCTCTCCCCCCACGAGCACAGCTGCCTGTTCACTTCACGGACTATGGAGGAGAGGCCCAGCAGACCACACAAGTCCACACAAGTCTGTGCTTTCTCAGCTGAAGTCACAAGAAAAGTGGAAATTTGAGCCCTTGCGTTTGTCTTTTGCAGAAAGTATTTTTCCATGGGTCAACGAGAGAGAGCGGTGACACAGATCTCTGCTGCCCACCTGCGCTGGATCCGAAACTGCGAGGTACAGAAAACACATATCTGAACCCCTTGAGCCATCTGGAAAATCACTCCGGCTATTCCACATTTATCAATGCAAACTCCTGCCCAGACAGAGTACAATATCCATGTTATCCCCAAACTCCTCAGAAAATACACAACTGCAATAGTGTCCCTGCTTCCATCTCTCCCCGAGACCATCCCACCACCCCTTTTCCCAACGCCGTCTCAATCGAACGCTTTGCTGGGGAAAGGTGTAATCTTCTCCAGCGAGACAGCCATTTCACACTCCACGTGCATCACTGCAGGCAAGGCACCCGCAGGGCAGGTGTTGCAAGAGGGCTCGGAGACCTGAGAAACCTTGTCAGAGGACACCTCGTTGCCTTCTGTCTGCAGAGCAGCATGGGGGAGAAGGTGGGGGTAGCTGAGGGTCACCAACTCCTTCTGGTACGTGGTGTCGTGGTGGTAGGAGACCAGCTCATTGCTGAAGTTCACTGTCTCCACTGCATTGCTGGGGCAAAGGTAGCCACAGCCCAAGATGGTTGCAAAAGCTCTGCGGAAGTCTGCGTTGAAGGCATAGATGATGGGATTGAGGGAAGAGTTGGCCCACCCAAACCAGACGAAGATGTTGAAGACAGTCTCGCTGACACAAGGAAGCTCTCCTGGCTCCTGTACGTCAAGATCACAAAAGGGCACCATGCAGTTGAGCACAAAGAAGGGCAGCCAGCAGAAGACAAAGACACCCATGATGATGGAGAGGGTCTTAAGGACCTTGGTCTCCTTCTTGAAGGAGTTCTTCAGGGAGGCCTCGTGAGGGCAGTCGCTGCTGTGGCAGCTTTGGGCATGTTCCACCGCCTTCTCCAGGGAGGAGATCCTGCGGATTTGCTGCTGGGCGATGCGGAAGATGCGGGTGTACGTCACGATCATGATGGCCACAGGGATGTAGAAGCTAATGAGAGAAGACGAGATGGCATAAGTCCTGTTGAGGCTGGAATCACAGTTTTCCTCCTCCCCGGTGATGTTAAAACCCGGCTCCTGTTGGCTAAGGAGGTCACGATCCTTGTGCCACTTCAGCTGCACAGGGATGAAGGAAATCAAGAGGGACAGTAGCCAAGCCACTCCGATCATGATGAAAGCCACACGCTGCGTCATCTTCCTCTCATAGCAGAAGGGGCTGGAAATGGCCCAGTAACGGTCCATGCTGATGATGCACAAATTGAGGATAGAGGCTGTGGAGCACATGATATCAAAAGCCACCCAAACATCACAGAAAGCCCCAAAGGGCCAGAACCCCACCACCTCAGCGACAGCCTTCCAGGGCATCACCAGTACAGCCACGAAGAGGTCGGAGACTGCCAAGGAGATAACGAAGAAATTGGTGACCTTAGAGCGCAAGTGTCTGAACTTCACCACAGCTGCGCACACCAAAGTGTTGCCCAGGAGCGTGGAGAGGATGAGAAGGAAGAGTAAGGCAGCCATCACCACACGGAAGGACAACTCAGGGTTGCCTTCTTCTGCCCAGCTCTTCCCAGTGCTGGTGTCATTGATCACATCCTGCCCATCTCCTTCTGCAGAGGAGTAAAAGCCATCCATGGGTTCCTCTTTATTCCAGTCCCTTGAGAGGTTTCACAGCTGTTCAAGTCTCCATCAGCATCCAAAACCCCTTTTTACTGCTCCACTGACATCTCAGAAGCACCAGCTACAATCCTCCCAGCTCTCACACCCAGGTAGACGATCCGGCACAAGGAAAAGGGCTTGAAGCTCTCGCTCCTCTCCAGATCTCCTGCTGACAGTGCGGCGTTTGGGTTTTTTCCCCTCTCTTGCCTCCCACCCCACTTTTCTTTCTTTGCAGCCTGCTGCTCACAAAAAGCCAGCGCTCACCTCCGGCACTTGAGCGAGCTGGGAGGGCTTTGCTGCAAGCCTTCCTCCCTCTCCTCTCGGGAGCTCTTCACCCCTTATTGATCTGGTGCCTGCTACGGAATCCCAGTCGATCCCTTCTGCACTGGCCAGGCTGGGACTTGCTGCCAGACGCAAGAGGGAATCTGAGCTCTCTCTGCTCTTGCAGACGGACCTTCCCTGCTCACGAAACGGACTGCTCTGCTGCCTGCTCTTCCCTCTGTTGCCACTTGCCTCTGGATTTCACTTGGGTGAGATCTCTCTCTGCTTGCACACCAGGTCCCTGACTCTCCAGGTCGGTCCTCTGTGAGCTAAGAAGAGCTTGGCATTGGGAATCTGCAGCTGACAGGGTAAGTTACTTGGGAATTAGGTGACAGGATTGAAGGGGTAAAATCACAAACATTCAAGTGGGATTTGAGGGTCTTCAATGCAAATCATGATGGAAATTCATTATGCCTGACCTCCGAATAAGAGATGCCTAATTCACTGCACAGGCACCGAGTCACAGCTCAGACATGACCCTAAGCCAGTCACTCCCCCCTGTCCCCAGCCGCAAGTGGTGCAAAACTGGCATTTACTTTCTACTGCAAAACACCTCCAAGTCCACAGGAGAAAAAAAATTGAAAATAAAAAAATAACACACACACACACAAAACCCCCTTGTACCAATCTGACAGTTTTTTCTTTCTGAAAGTATCAGACAAAGCACAGTTTTCAGTGTTTCTTTCAGCAGAGGTTACCTGTAGGACCAAAGATGCTGAACATCACTAAGTTTTTTATCCTGAACAAACACAGGTATTTTCAGTAAAGTGATATAAAGGTAGCTTCTCTTCCACGTTCATCATTCTTTCTTTAAATTTAATTCCTAAGTAGTTCCACGTTAGCTATCACCTCAGCAATCAACTGACAGCTGAAAACATTAACCAGAAAAATCAAGATGTCTTTCCAGCACAGTACCAGCCCTGTCAGCAAAGTGGTCACCCCCACATCACGCTGTAACTAAAGCCACTCCATAAGCAAAAAGGCTCCTCTGATCAAAGAAACGTCAGAAAAATCCTTCAGGAGGCAAGATTCCTCGAAAGCCAGCTCTGCAACAAGCTGCTTAAATGGGGACGTGCTTTTGAGAAAGCCTTGCTGGTAAACTGGCCAAGGTGGGAAAGGGCAGCAAAAGCTTTCCAAATCAAACCAAAAAACCCCAGGCAGCTCAGCTTTAATTTGCTCCTTACACTGACAGTTGCTGTAGTGTATCACGATGACCTCTGCCTTTGCCTGTCACATACACCACTTCCAAAGAAAGCAGCAGCCAATCTATACAGAGTCAGCTCAGCTGCACTGAGATTTAATTAACTTGACCCCACAACCCAGGCTTTGCATAAGCCCAGATAGAGCAGGAGCTGCCCAAGAACAACTTTCAAACAAGCACACAATTATTCTCTGCAAGATACAGCACCAAGAAGCTTACTCGAAAGCAAACAGCACACTTGCTTTCTGACAGGTTAAAGAAACTTGTTGCCAGCATTTATTTCTGAAGGCTTTGTTTAATTAAGCCTCATTAGTTCCACCATCTGCAACCTGCTCCTGCCAAGTGCCTATGCCAGGAAGGGCGGCTAGATGGCACCAACCGCCGGCTGATGGGCCAGCACTTCCACTCGGGTCCTTCGGGCCCCCTTTCCTCCTCACCAGGAGTTCATGGGAGGAAAACGAGGGCCATCTACTCACCCAGACACCTCAGGACCTTGGCAGTGCACTGACCCATGCCAGGATGCATGCAGATGCCCTCTGGGGCACAGAGGACAGTGCACTTTTCTCATACTCCCTAAATCGGGCAAAAGATTTTTGAGATTGGAAGTTGCAAGACCCAAAAACCAGATCTCAGTTGCAAGACCCAAAAAGCAGGATGCTTTCACTGCTCTTCAACACAGCAGCCACGGCAGGTGATCTGTCATCCAGCATTAAATCATGGCAGAGGCTCGGAGTGGGAGCTCACAGCTAAGCCAGAAGGCATTCCAGGAGACCATTCCTCGGGATACAAGGAAGCCTTCCTCCTCCTCAGGAGCTTAAAAACATCTGAGCAAGGATCTCACCCTTGCACGCTGCTTATGCTGAAGCAGACATTCAAAGCAGGGTTAGCAGAGGGAAAATGGGATGGGAAGGGATCTGATAGATTACCCGGTTTTGGTGCATCTCAGAATACACCTAATGAAGAAATGACCGTTAACTCTGCTGTCAATAGGCAAACAAAATACAGTCACTCAAATAAAACACAGGCAGTTACTCACGTTCACAGATTAATTCCTCCTGCCTGCTAGATGCAATGTTCTCTACTGAGAAAACTGTTCTGCTGCATTATATTACTAAACAGTTGCTACATTTCCTCACATAAGCAGCTGCTATTTTTTCTGAGAATCAAGTTAAGTACTATTTTAAACAGCACTCGAATATGATAAGATTCCAGTCTGGTGGCAATTCAGCTCTAGGTTTTTATATTTAATTTCCTCACCCAGCAAGAAGCTGCCCTCTATTTCCCTTCCCTGCTGTCTCACCAAAATATACTTAAAATTCTCCATTCAGCCATCTTGATTACATTCCTCACTTTGCATCAAAGGAAGAAAATTACAAGCCACTTCAAATAAAGCAGCAGCTGCTTGGGTTTAACTCTTCAATGCCTCTTCCCGAATGGCTGCCTCAGTCAGCTGCATTACAGAATTACAGGAGTGTTTATTCCTATGGGCATCGCTTTGCACTTTATTTCCAAAGATACAAGTTCTAATAGCAGGGGAGAAATGAGGGGTAATCAGATCCTTTAAAAAGGGATCCAGCGATACTGGCTGCAGGTAAGACCTGAGCCTGTAGACAGCGTCAGATAAGCCCAGGAACAAGAAGCTTCCTCCTCCCTGCCTGGCCCTGCAAAAACTCCCTGTACCTCTCCAGGGATCAGCATGCCAGCTCAGATCAGAACTCTTGCCAGAGGAAACAGGCTTGACTGCCTGCAAATTCAAAGCTTACTTCAGGCATCTTCGTATCAGAGGGAAGCAGGAGCAATTTGTTTGGAGTAGCTTGCGCACCAGGTTACTCCATTTAGATCCATTGTCTTCAGACAGAGGGGAAAAAACAGTACCAGTCTTCTTGGCTGCACTGCTTAATTACAACCATAACAAGGAGCTGGACAAAAACCATCTCGGAATAAGGCTTACGTATTGTTTAGCACAAAACCAAGGGGTCAATGAGGAGAACTGACTTCCTGGCACAGCAGTTTACTCCATGGCCACAGCAAGGTGGTGTAGGCAAAGGACTGTGTTCTGTGTGAGCCCTGAAATTGCACTACTTTGAGATGCACGATGATGAAAAAGTGGAAAGATAAGACAAGCTGAAGCAAAGCAAAAGAAGCAAGCCTTTCCAAAATGATACTCATAAAATTCAGGTGTCACAACCAACAGCAGTACAGGCTACTTGGTAAAAACAGACAACTTTTTGAACGTAAACATAATATAACTGTTGGGCTTTTTTAAGCTCAGGGAAATCAAAGTCTGGTACAGCAGTTATCCAGTTTGGGTTTTGACAAAGCAGCCCAGGAATCTGCCCATTTACTTTCAGCAGACAAGTTTTATAGATGCAGGAGCACAGCTGGAACATCACTAACACGGCAGCAATCTGTGGCACAGAGAAAAGAAAAGGAGGCACCACAAGCGACTCTGGTTCCTCCCCTCCCCTTTATTACACGTAGGCAGAAAACACAGTGGTTTTTCTCCCATTTACTTACAAAGGAAAGGAATACAGAGCTTCAAGTCATTTCACATAACTCCATGTGCAGCCTGGGTAAACTGCTAGCTGGCTATGGCACACCTTCTCTGGCAGGAGTCTGCACTCTTGAACAAAGCGACAAAGAAGCCAGAGCCAACACAGCACCCTAGTGACACCTCTGACTTTTCACCTGGTCCTCTGGGGCTAAAGCTGGGTCACCAATAATTAACAGGAGACAGAAACTCCAGCCCTAGTCTATCGTCCACCCAAGCTGCCATCCACATGGCTCGAGCAACCGAGCTTGGTCCAGGAGGCAGCGTGGAAGTGGTGATGGGAATACATTCCGAGGCAGGGAGAAGTGCAGTGAGGAGGACTGGTTACACACCAACACGCAGCTCGTCACTCCCCTGCCACACACAGGCTCTGTGTGCAGAAAGCCCAGTTAACAGCACATTCCCCTCCTGAAAGAATTCATTTATTCATGTTAGGTGTCAGGCTTTCTGCTCCTCCATGTGCACACGCATAGTAAAAAAGTGACCTGCAAAAGATGACAAATTTGCTTCTGATGGGTGAAGACAGCCTCTAAAAAACATCTTCACTTACTGTGCTTAGGGTTTTTTGCATTAGAAACATTTGCAGGGTTTTGTTTTGGGGCTTTCCGGTAACCCATAATCTCGTGGAATTGCAACATCAAGACTGAAGGCAAAGCCATGGCTGTTAGATGAAACCGTCCTCTCGAAGGGAAAGCGATGCATCCCTTCTGCTCCCACCCCAAATCACCCCGTACGAGAGCTCAAAGCAGACCACCCTGCAGCTCCCACGAAGTTTTGCAAACAGGGCAGATACAAAAATAGCAAGCAGCTCCAACTTCAAGTAAAAGCAAGCAGAAAATTGTATTACAGTGACTGCAAGCCTTCATCACGACAGGCAGCATAAGAAACTCCTTCATTTAAAAATCTTTTGCAGGTCTCCCTTTTTAAGGCCTTTGTGTCATTACAGAAAGAGGAATTATTTTTGTCTTGTGCTTGCAATTGCTGCCCCCTAGAGCAGCACCAAAATCTCCTACAATTGAACAGTTACAGTGCCTAGTTGTCCACGACCGTGCAAAATACAGACAGGGAGGGACAGAACCATCCACAGGTGTTTAAGCTCGTTGCAGATAAATACCGTCCTTGACATAAGTTATGTGCCAAGTGTTTTAAACAACCACACAAACAGCCAAATGTTGAGCAACTGCAACACCGCTGCAACTCAGATTCTCAACATCAGCCACAGCAAAGAAAGAAAACCAAAAAACCGAGCACTGTTATGGACACAGAAGAGTTCATCTCCGCTGGGCAGAACAGTGAATTGCATTCCCAGAAGGGAAGACTGGATGTCGCAGAGCGACTTGGGATCGCAAGTCAAATTGAGACCAGTGCAGATGTTGGCACAGAGATGACAGACACCAGCTGGGGCCAGTTCCAGAGTGGATTGTCGTGGCAGGAGATCCTGCTGCTGAGCAAAGTGATATCCGTGAAGAACAGGGGAGCGTTACCCCTCTCCCCAGAAGTTCTAGTCACTAGTTAAGGAATCTTAAGACAACTTCTCAACCTGTAGCAACAGGACACTGTTGGGTCTTTAAAGATTCAGTCCCAGAGCTGTTTTGGGTTCAGAGGAAGCAGAGGGAGTCTTTTGTGCCAAATCTATAAAGAAAATCGCAACAGAAAGACATCAGTTTTCATCACTAAGAGGGACTAGGTCAACCACGTCCATAACTATAAAACACAATTTCAGAGCACCTCAGTGCTTCGATATTCAGTTTCATTCTCTTGGAAACCCATGTTTCATGTTTGATACGGGATGCTGAGCATTCTTCTGCTCTGAAACTTGAGAATGTCAGCTGTCCAAATACGAAGAGGATTATATGGACAGTCCTGTGTAATTGTTCATTAACAGATTCCTGAAAGGAAAACTAAAACTTGTTTACCCCTGTCCAAGACAAGTCTATGGAAAACTCAGCACGCAGTTCAAGCCCATAAGCTCTGATCACTCACTGTTACTAAATAAAGACTAGTTCAGTACTAGTTTAAGCAGATGTCATACCTAAAACACATAAGACATAGTAAGCATTCTAGGACAGAGAAGATGCTGTGTGCTTGGCAGCAACAGGCATGAAAACGCTGGCCTGCTCTATCACTGCTAGCAGAACATACAAAAAACACTGCCTGGTTTTGTTAAACGATGACAAAGAAAATGATCTGTCCAAGCACTAGCCCACTCATAGGGCTTTCAACTGTCCCTACACCCCATTGCAAAAAGTCCAGGCAGAATTTCTAGCAAAGAGGGCAGTTCTCTCAAGACTGAGCCTGGTAGTGAAAGACAATGCCCCTGAGCACCTGGCAGGGATACCAGGAGACCTTGCTTTCAACTGTGTAACTGGCAGTGGGAAAGATTCTGGCTCGGACTTCAGTCCTGCCAGACATCTTTCACGTCGCAAGGCTGTCACAGATCCTACCAGCAGCTAGCTAACACGACTTGCTGACATCCATACCTCCATCACAGACAGAGAGCTTTTCCAGTTCAGCTTCCAGCTCAGCGTCAGAAATGGGTGGATTCGGCACCTTCTGGCTAACAGGAGGCAGATCCACAGGCTCCTTAGTTGAGTCCTGGAGGAGACTGTCCAGCTCCTTCTCCAGTTCCTCCGTGTCCATCTCTGCCGATTAAAGAAAACCTTCAATTCCAAGCAGGAATAAGTAGTATCTCCGCAGCACAGACCGAAGCCCAAGTTTAACAGGGGTATTATTACTCCCATCCATCATTAGTAATAACAAGGAACTCCCCGTGCTGCTTCTAAAGGTGAAAATTCAGTCCTGATCTCAGGGAGAAGCTATTCCTTTAGCAGCCTTCGCTCTGAGGCATCTAAGGGTAAGAAAACATTTCAGCAGAGACAAACAAGCTGCAGCAACACGGAGGCCAGAGGAAAAAGATCATCACTTAAAAAACAAAGCAGCAGCCACTCCAAAAATAGATTTAAATCAACATTACACAACTCCACACTGAAATCCACCAGCACTTAGGGACTGCAAGGACTTGGAGATGCACAAGTATTCCCCTGCAGCCTGCTGTCAGAGAAAACTCAGTCCTCATTCCCTCTCAAGGCACCAGTAGCAACATCCTTGGTATTTCACTAAGTGCTTATCCTCCCAGGAGGGACGAGTAGACATACGTGGGGAGGGAGCAGGGAAGGGATGGAAGCACAAGGAGCAGCGGCAAGAGAAGACGAGTAAAGGATGAGAACCCCAAAACATACCTAGACCATTGACCCCCACTCCAGCCAGCGTCTGCGCTACTTCGTCTTGAGTATCACAAAGCTGAGGAAAGACACACAGCGTTTGATATAGAACAGAAGCTAATCTTACATCTTACTGTAGCTACCTATGTCAAAAGTAAAAATAACAAAAAAAAAAAAAAAAACAAAAGCTGACTTAAAGGCAGCAGGTACTAGTGCAAAAGAGCCTTAAACACAACTGGTTTTTCAGTACCAAAAAGCAGTAACATGGAATATCATTCAGTAAGTGCTACAAGACCAAGTAGCATGTTGGAGGATCAAACCTGAAACAGAATTTCACAGACAAAAAAAAAAAAAAAAAAAAAAAGAAGAATCTCCCCAGTTTTAGCTTTTACACATAAGTAACAAGCCTAAAATCTCCCTAATTTTAGCTTTTTCACATCAGTAACGAGCCCATATTGCAGCTTAGGCTAACAAAATAAGGAAGCTGAAGACCAATACATCTCAGCTATGAAATTTTACAGACAGCTCCTCAGCTCAGTAGTTGAAGTCACCATTTAAGTACATGGAGTTGAAGTTACTAAAAAGTAATCCTTTCCTGTTTGGTTTTTTTGTGTTTGTTTTTTTTTTTTTTTACCATCATATGCAGACAAATTACTCTCTTCATGTCAATTCATTCAGAATAAACTCCCCTCCCTTCCCTTACTGAACTGCAGAAGGCTACAGGTTAGGCAGTTTTAAGGCCCTCTTTTTATGCATGTAGTTGCATTCCAGCTTCCAAGATATGACTTCTACTTGTTTTTAATACATCTCACTAAACATTTTCTAGGAGAGTTGCGTGCTTGCACAATATTGCTCACCAAAAGAACACCTGAAATCAATTTAATGCAAATTGTGATTACTAGCCAGCAATAAATTCAAACACATAAACCCAAAGACAGCCAGTTCTTTGAAGACCTCTGCTGGCTGATCTAAAAAGACCAAAACTAAGCCAGTTTGCTCTGGTGACACATGGAATAGAAATCAGTGCCAAAAGCCTCAGCATTAACAGCTGGGCAAGCTTGCTGTGTACATCTACACACTACTTGCTTGCTTATTTAGACATGCTGTTCTTTCAGTACCTCTTGTATCTGATCCACCAGATTCTCTGCCTTCTCCACAGTAACATCCTTCATAGACAGTTTCAGAGCTCCCACACCAGCCTGATAGGCATTAAACACCTTAAAAAAGTGAAAGATGCACAATGCTAACTAAGAACAAACAACAGGCAACGAAAGCTTCTCTCCAGACCTGTTATACAAGCAGAGAAACATCAGCAGAGAAACATCAGCACACAAGAAGAAAATAAAGCCACAAGCAGGTTTATTCAGAGCAATAACCCAACATCAGAGCAGAGAATAAAGGCTCACCAGCCAGCTTACACCCCTCGGACACGAGCTCTGACAAGCAGGTTAAGCAACACAAATGGGAAGAGAGGGGCTAAAGTGAGAAGAGCAAGGCAGAATTAACACACTACCATCTGGTCAGTCTGGGAGGCGTATATACGATCCAAGATCCCCTGCACTGCATCCAGCTTGGAGTGAAGCTCTTCAATGCGCCTCTCTGTCCTTCGTTTGGATTTCAAACATCTCAGCGCCTGGAGACATCAGATACGCAGGCGTGGGTCACAAACCAGGCAGCAGCCAAAGGAAGTGTAAAAAAAATGATAATAGCAACCCCTGGACAGCAAGGGACACACGCAACAGCTGGTTTTAAGGGCTAGACATTTCCATTTCTCTTCACCACATCACCCTGGACAAATATATTCTTATCTCCACCTAAAGGAGACCTTTAGCCTCAGAAACACCCCTTCAACACATCTAAGTTCGAGTACCCAATGCCTAACCCCAGTCGTTATCTGCAGTGATGGACCAGCTCCAAGACACTTCACTTGTAGTTCCAAGCAGAACAGCACTTACCAATTGCTTCTTCCCAGCTCTACAAGCACTCCGGGCATCCTCTTTACACCTGTACAGATGCAACAGGGAAAAGCAGCTTACTCCTTTGCAAGCAGTAGTTACTTTGCAAATTAGCAACCACCCTCACTGCCTGGCTCTAATCCAGAGGTGACAGAGGAAGAACACGTTTTGGACACGACCACCCTGAAGCCAGTGTTACTTCTCAGAAGTAGTTCTTGAACGCACGCCAGATCTTTACAAACACTTCTGACATCCACTCACTGCATGTTGTTTTCATGGGGATAGGGAACAAAGACTGGAAAACCTGCCCCACCGCATGGCTGTGGCTACTATGTTTACTAAACAGGAAAGAATGACTTGCACTTCCAGAAAGCAGCTCCGTTCTAACTATGTCACAGGCATGCAAAGTTCTACAGCACACAGACGTTCTTCCCACCACCCTTCCCCAAATTACTTCTCTGCTTCCTGGGAAAGGGACTCCACCTTCTGTGACAGCAGCTGTTCGCTTTGCATCAGCTGATAGACTCCAATGTCCACATCATTCATCGGAGAGACTTTGGCGTGAAGACCTCGGGCAAACTTCACTATCTAAGGAAAGAGAATCACATGCTCGAGTCGCTTGTCTCCAGAATCTGTGCCTGCACTAGGAATACTTTCACTCTGATGGAAGGCAAACAAGCTTTCACACCCCCAGTTTAAGCCCTGTAACAGAGTTATGAGGACATGCCACCACATAATCTAATATTAAACTAGACAGGACCGAGTGACATCACTGTGAAAACAGAAAGCCTTAACGGAACACCCTGAAGATTTCAAGCCGTCCTGGGGCTCTGACCAGCGTATGGCAACGTCACGCTTCTCAGCACTTCAGCGCTGAACTGCACAGTGCAGAGCACCACAGGCAAACGCCATCGCAGAGGCGAGAGCGCCTGCGCCTCTGCAGTTACTGACAGACAGCAAAGCCTTTTCACAGGAAGTGGAACGCTGATTCCAGTAGCGTGGAACGGTTTTAATTTGGGTAGCTGGGAACAGTCAACCTGCGAGTAGACAACTAGAGCATCTGCCACTTTTCTAGCTGTTAAACTACATGGGTAATATTACAGATGTTTGATGCAGGAAAATAAGAAGCTGTCATGCAAGACAGAGGGTTTAATCTCATCTATAACCAGGTTGCAATGTCAGAGTACATAGAGTTTACTTTTCCAAGCAAAGAACACCCATAGTTAACTCAAAGTATTCTTTCCAACCAGATGAAATGCAGGACAGGGATTACACCACCCAAAAGCAGTCACCTTTACCCTGTACCTTCTCTCCGTTCTGTTCCAGGATCGTGACCCTCTTTTCCTTTTGCAGCTGGAGCAGCAACAAGTAGAACGTCCTTTCATCTGGACAAACGCTGGCACAGAGCGAACGCAGCTCTGAGAGGGCAACAACAGGGTGAGAAGAAAGCGCAGAGTTCTGATACAGGCGATAAACTTCCTCTGCCTTCTCCTGAAAGGAAGCAACAGAGCTGCCTATTAGTTTACACAGCACTCTTCCTTCTCTCTCAACAGCTGCCAAGCCCACACCTGCTTCCTCCCACACACTGAAGGTGAAGACGCATCATATTTCGGGCCAGACACCACTTTCAGAATGAGTTGTATGTTCACATTCAAACCCAATTACAATGCTTTAAAAATATCCCCCGTGATGGAATGACAAATAGCACAGTCTTCCACGAGAACCAAAGCTACGCTATTCGCACTCCCTGGGCAGATGCGACAGAGTAACAGAAGGACTGCACAGACAGCAGGTCGGCCTCCTCTGCACTTCAAGTTCTTTTCTCTCCCCAAGCTTAAACCCAACAAAACCTTTTCTTTAATCCACACCATAACTGTACTCACCAAGCTATTTTGCATCATTTGTCTGTCGGCAGAGAAAAAAAAGCAAAGTTTTCCCCATTTCAAGTGAGAGTTCTGGTCCACTTGAGACTACAGAAACAACTCTTCCCATCCACCCTCAGATTCCACACCAAGGCTTGTGGTTTCCCAGACACCTTTTCAGAAGGTTTCTCTTCTTTCCCAGGCACACACCCTTCCGAGAGGGCTGTGGAATACCCACTGCAGAGGGCAGACACCGCCTGCTAGCAGAGTAACCACAAACAAAGGAATGCATCGAAACAGCTCTTGCGTTTCTGCTAGTCCCAGACATTCAGATGCCACTGGCACGTAACAGCAGCAAGTCTCGGTGCCGATTTTAACAGCCACCGAGCAACACAGAGAGGGACCCGAGGTCTCGACTGTCAGCACCGCACCATCCGAGTCAGGATGAGCAACAACAAGTTACATGAATTCACAGTGCAGCCCCCAGGTCTGCCACTAACAATGCGCCAAAGAGAAGGGTCTCTGACCAGACCCAAGGGCAGCTCTAATCACGTCTGAAAAGGCAGGCTGGAAGCGCACGCTCTGAAGCGAGAGCGGCCTCTAATAACGCACACACGAGTTCAGCTCGATGACACACCGGACTGACAGCCAGCGACTTCTACGCCACCCGTTCCTCCCTGCAACGGACGGTGCTCAGTCTGTAAGTTTCCCTCCCGTACTACACTCGCACGGACTCAAACCTGAGATTTACAGCAGCCTCACAGCATACTCCTTGGCTTCCTAGGCAAGCCTGCTCTTCCCATTTCTTCCAAGTCAGTGAAAAGTCATTACATTAATTTCAAGAAACATCTGTAGATATAATCTTATCCCCAAGTTACTCCATCCATCCCTCTACAGGCTTTTAAACATCCAAGGAGCACAAATGAAGGTCTAGTCAACCTTGATCCCTCCTTGCTAGCACATAAAATGACTCACAGTTTTGCTGGAGATGCATAACCCTGAGAAAGCTCTCAACAAGACTCACCTGAAGCAGCTCCACATAAATCAGAACTTCTTCTTCTTCAGGTATTTTACTGTCACCCAGCACGCTGGAAAGAGTCCACTTCAGGGGCTTCAGAATGAAGACTCCCACACCCCAGGAGATCCAGCTGCTGCCTACACTGGCCATGAAGTCTGACTCCCTCTGCAGCTTGCCACGTCTAGAGAAAAGACACGCATGCAGAACAGAATATGATCAGTCCCAAACCCTTCCACTGGCAGCAAGCAAGAGTGCCAGCATGGAGAATTATTACTTGAAACATTGCTCTACGCTTGGTACACCCAGTGTCTTCGTGGCATTTGCTAACACCAGTTTGTAGCTAAAGTCTGATGTGTTACTACTGGGTACAAAAGTGCACAGAGGTCTTCAGTCCTCCCGGGGTTCCTCTGGACACAAGGGTCTTCTGTTTACTATTTTTCCAGCTTTGCAAGCTTCTCCAGGTTTTCTGACTTGAAACCGATGATCCATTGAACCAGAACATCAATGGGGAGGGCCTGTTTTCAGAGGGGGCAGCTGCACGTTTCAGGAAGCTCCATTCACGCATGAAATTGCAAACATAGCTCTCCTCAGACCTAGAGATTCCATTTTTTTTTATGTTGCAGACTCAGCTAGCTCCCGCCGTTCCTGAAATCTCCTCGGGGTTATCAGTCCCCGGCTCTGGTTTCACAACACGAAACACCTGGTGGCAAATACCCGCGCCCCGCATGCCCCTACACCACCGCACACCACCCGCAGCTGCGTCATCACAGCACGGAAACACAACCCAGCCTAACACAAAGCTCCCCCAGCGCCTACGAGCTCTCCTGGCACATCATTCCCTTGGGATTCCCCGCACTCCCCAGGGCACCCTGCCCTCCCTCACCTCCTGTGAGCCCCGGGGTGAGCTCCCCAGGCTCCCTGCCCACACTCTCCCTCGCCCAGGGCTCCCAAACTGCCCCCGCACAACACAACCCCATGTTCCCCTGGGCCTCTCTGCGCTCTCCTCTCCTTTTCCAGCCCTGCCACAGCAACAGAGCCCGCTCCCGCTCTCCCACACTCCCAGGGCTGCAGACACAACCACCCTCCTCCCCTCACGTCCCCCCCCCACCCTCCTTCCCCGCT